ATAACGGTTTAAGATCCTTGTTTAAAGCGGCCAAATTCGTAACCTCCTTTCGAAATTAAGATCTTTTAAAAATAACGAACACATTCTAAAACTAAATAAGAACCTGAATATATTAAGTTTTTCTCAAATCCTAAATATTATTTAATAGGCATGCAAATGTATCAATCAATACAATACTTTGCCAAAATCGTATGACACATTGCTACAGTCATTGACTATTTTAACGGGTCAAATTAAAACGCCAATGTAATCAATTATATTAACATCAATAATCCTCGTTTTCGTGAAAAACAACAGACCATCGTGTGTTTACTCACGTACTCTACAAATAATTCGCGCGTGCAAATCCGCAGTTACAATCTACGCTACTTTAGTATTTTTAATTATTATAACATTTTTATGAAATTACCTTAAACCAACATTTTGTCAATATTTATTTATTACAAAGTTTCTGGAGTGTTAATCTAGAGCGTTTATCCGAGGCCGTTAGTCGAAATTAGGCTAAGTTTGAGGGCTCAATCAAGCCGTAGTAAAGTTTTATCTGCTATACACAAAAAGGAAATTCGTACAGGTTTAGCCCCTCTAGCAAAAGAAGTTATTTACAATGAAGAAAAATTTTTTTTTGACACATTTTACAGTTAGGGTTACCATACTAATAATTGTCATATATCATTTCTGTTTATTAAATCGAGTTACATAACTCAGAAACATAACCAAAACAATTCAGTAGTCAGAATTATACAAAATATTTGAGTCTGAACATACATTTCACATAAGAAAGAACATAATCATAATAATGCAAAACGTGTGGTTTTACTAATTTAAAATGCGGAAATGTTTTGGAAGCTGCATTATAAAAGAGTAACTCATCTCAGTTCATTCAACTGTTTTTCGCAATAATTCGCGCGGTCGTTCCATATGTCAGTGACGTTCATTTACATTATTTTTTTAATACCTCATGAACACACGCACGCACAGAAACATACCTCGACTTACCAAATTACATGTAACAAAACATTATGTTAACATATTATCTTGAATTTCGTGACAAAAAAAATTTTAATTACCAGCCAAACTTATTAGAACTTAGTAAAGAATAGGATTTAAATTAAAAATATTTTTATGGAACAAAATACCAAGTGGAATACAAAAGTACCGTAAATGTACCAAATAATTCATTAAACAATCAACCGTTTGGCATCGTTACTAATATCTTCTTTTTTAAAATAATAAACGTAGTACACACGAACGGCAGACATCCAAACATGCGTTGTTTACTACCACGTGCAACAATTGCGTAACAATTGCTCGTAAATTAGATAAGCACCATAGTAAGCTTGAAGAATGTCATGAATTTGCTTTCTTCGTACAGAAGGCGTGTATGGTCGTCACGTCGTCAATTTCCTCGAACTCCAAATAAGAAGTACTCAAATTATTTCCGCGTATAGTTATAAGAAAGATTAAAATTAGAACAAAATGTTGCACGAGACGACACACTTTCTCGTGTTCTTACTTATTTTATTATATTATAATAAATACAAAGCACTTTCATTTATGTGTTTCTTGTCCCTAACTCTTGCTCAATTCAGAAAAAAGTATATATGCGGCGCCATACCACCTTGGTCTTTGTCTATCGACAAACATGAATCGGAGCTGTTTTTTAGGTTGTTTTACCGGTTTTTGACCACAATGTAGATTAAAACAAAGATTTGTGTGCTTGATCCAATAGTTTTAATTTTTTTGTAGCCAATAGAAGTATTCCAGAGTCCTCCTTAAATTTATCAAGAATCAATACAAAACAAATTTATTGATATTTTAATTTAATAGCAAGAATCAAGGCATGCAATTAAGGTCGTAACACATTGTCATAGATTTTTTTTTTGTAATTTATCGTGACACAGTAGCGAGAACGACCTAAATGTAAATATTGTCATAACGGTTATGTGTGCCACAGCAGGGGCAATGACAGTCTTACTCATCTGCCGCCAGCCACCGGTAATACTTCCTCAACGTGTAAGCACACGTAAAACCACACGTATCATGCCATCATAAGTTCAATCTCCTGTGAGCCTAACACGAATATGTATCGCCAACGATAAATTTTTTTACACCAAAAATCTCATACTAACTTCTCATAAATCTCGACATAATTGACGATGATGATAAGATTGTCACAAATGTTCCTGCTAGGGCGGGCCACTGTTAACATTCAAATTTTCTGTGAATTTCTAAGTGTTTGATAAATAATTTGATAGAATGCGACTTTGCTTGATGAATTGTTTATAAATAGCTTCATGAAACACTGAAACTACACACCTAGGCAATAGTACGTATGTTTATTTGTTTGTTTATTTAATCGTTAGACACATTGGCAACATCAGTCTCGGCCGATAAAAAAGTTCCCATGCAACTTTGTATTACCTGAGTCTGATAATATCACCGGAACTCTAACCTATAAGCTTAAAGCCGTCTTTGTTCCTAAATAACAACGTTATTGCATTGTATCATAACAATGAAAACGACAAAGACATGTATTCATCAATAAAATCGATATTTCGTTGCATATGCAAGTTTAAAACATACCAGTTGCATGAGTCAGTCACGCGGTGATTCACGTGAGTTCCAATTTTTCAGCTTATTTTCTTGTCTGTAGTACAAAGGCGAATCATTAAGTTTTCCGCGTAACGAAAAACTGCAGTTCTCAGTAGGCACAAAGTAGCACAATTTCGAACGATATTTTATTTATCGTTTTCTCATAAGCTTTTAAGTATTTTAACCAAATTTAGTGAAAGACTTACAATGGCGACTAATATTTTTGATGTGGCTGAATCTTCTGAATTCCTTGGCTTGCTGGTATACAAGCGCTAAGACAATAAAAGGAGTTATCTTGAGTCCTACAAAATAGGCAATACATTCTATGTATTGCCGACAGAGGTTCGAGAGCACGTGTAATATATGTTGAATCATATTTAGGTCATACGACACAAAAACTAGGTAATGTGAGCACGCGGTCGCCATTATTATATTACAAAATCTTACTAAATTACCATTATATAGTCTATGGTTAATTGCAACCGCCATATTCGCGAATAGGTATGATTCCTTTCTCCATTTTTAAAAGAACGAAATTGCTTTTCTGTAATATATTGTACGTATAGTAACTAAGAAAAAATACTTCTGCTTATTTCTGCATTATAACGGTGATTATTATCGTATTTTTTCGTTCATTATATTATTAGCAATCGTTGTCAAACTTTCAATTAAACAATATCATTGAACATCAAACGTTAGATGTATACTCTTGAAATCACAAACGAGAAGAGCTGAGACATCTCAAATATGTACACCGGCATAGTAGAGGCGAATTGAATACTGTTCCAGACAAGACGAAAATATCCAGTCAGCCAGTACCAGCGTACCCGGAGATCGCGAAGATATTTATCTTTGCTGCAGGAATATCTTTGACTATATTATACCATAGACAACCATAACAAACTTTTATTAATTTATTTTAATATGGACTTACTGCCACACTCAATAGTAAAGCCCTACCTACTCTTACACCTGTAATCCAAAGAATTAGGTAAAAAAGATTACAATATATCTTAGCTACTGTTAATAGCTCGAGATGAATTTAAATTTGTCAACCAAGCAAAAAATCTTGTATTTTTACATAAATAAATTAGTTAATTAAATTGTTAAACTATTTATTGATAATTTATTTGTTAATTTGAATATTACCATGCAACTATCGAAAGACCAAAGAAAGATCTAAAACTTTATTTTTACTACAAAGTCCAGTTTAAATCTGAAAGCGTTCAATACTTCGCACGTGCCGCGAATAGAATCTCTGAAGTTATTTGCATATGCTGTAACTTAAGGGGCAGAGTCAATTTTATTTATAGATATATACAAACAAAAACACATTGCTCTATTTAATCAGAGTACACATAATTAAATGGTATCGTTAAATTAAAACTTTGTTCCCACAATATTTTTTATTATTTGAGCTATGATTCCAGACAACTGTTTAATTTTCGTTTATTATTTATAGTATGTCTATTTTTTTCAAGGAGAATTATGCAATTGAAGTATGCTTTATTGGGATCACGACAGTGGAAATTCCAGGATAGAAACTTATGAAAAGACGATGCGACACTTAATAGAGCAAGGATTGGAAGCAGCTGGTCTGTTATATTATAGTTGCAGTCATAAGCATTGCATCTGTTTTTGGATTCGCCGGTACTTTATATTTCAGTACCCGACGTTGCGAACGAATATTCAGAATTATTTGAGCCGCTAGTGCGTTTCTTCTTACTTACGTTTTCCCTTCCCTTGTGGAATCTACCTGAGCAAAGTAAGGTGTAACAAACACCTTAACAATAAACAGGTAAGCAACAAAGATGGTATTATAGAATTTCTAAGAAGTAGGTACATTTTTACTGATCTGCAGTCTGTACCTAAAAACATTTTATTAGCTAATTAAATATAAAATCAATTAATAAAAATGCAAGGGAAAATAACAATGAAAGGGAAATGGGCTACGTGATGATGAATATTTCACTAATTTATAATGACTCTTTTTCTAGCACTTAGGTTGACAAATAAATATTATTTGTCTAGATGTAAAAAATAAATATATGTTTATGATCATTTCATCAAATATTCGAATAATTTCACAATACAAAATTTTACCATTATTTAACTTTAAATCACCCCTGGCGACAGTAATTAATTAATCGATTCCAATTACACGTACAACGAAATTAGCGAAAAGGTATAGGTACCTTAAACGAGGGCTCTATTTGTTGTTAAACAAAATTTGCTTACGCTTGCAATTTTACTCTATCAAAAGCAATAAAAGGACGATTAAAACTAATTGAAGCATTACATTCATTGGTAAAAGTTAAGAGCACACACTACGGGCAATCGGTGACGTACCGCGCGCGACCATATTTTGTTCTCGGCACAACCGCTCCTTCACAGGCTCTCAGTTTGAATTTGGCGCGACGACATACAGTCCAGTAGCGGGCGGCCAAGCCGCACGATCGCGCCATTGTGGGCCGTCAGAAAACGAACAAATTGAAAGTTTCGCTTGTGTTATTTACATTTTTGTTTGTTTTGGTGAAAGAAGGGACCGGTTTTTATAGAATTAAGTCTTTGAAAAACTTAAAATAGAATTAAATAGAGTGTAGTTTTAGTGAGTTTATGTAGTGCAAACGAAATATTTTTGGTATGTAATGTGTTTTTTGTTATCAACTCTCGGTTATCGTGCGCTCCGTGCGAACTTTTAATAAGCTTTACTTCCTTTGTTTAGGGACGGCGTCGCCCACGTTAATATTTTGCATAAACAGTAGTACGCTGTACTATAATAATGGATGCAGATAGAAAAATAAACTTATGCGAGGGGGTTCCTCTTAACTCACCAGGTGCGGCGAATATTTTTTTGAATACTAGTAATGATAGAAAAGTTAAAGATGGAACTGTGATACATTTAAAAACAGGTGACTATACCTTATTTATCTTTAAATTATTCAAATTAATTACGTGATATTTATTTGTGTTATATTTTTAGAGAAACCGGCAGACGTCGGAGTGCATATAAATACGACTTTGTCGATAGCGTCTTCCAAGAAAATAAAACTTTTGTTCATAATGAACTTCTTGCTTAGCGTCGTGTGTATGATAATTAGTTGTTCAGTGGCATTTTACTACTGGAATGAGATGATATCAATGAGGAAGCAAATAGAGTTGGTGCGAGAACAGTTTCTAATTCAGAACTTTAAAGACGGTGTAGTGGAAGAGGACAAACCGGTGCATAGTGCTCTGGTGTCGAGGCTGCGGCCTCAAGTGCGAGTGGAGGGCCGTGAGCCGCGTATGAACTTTGCCAAGGAAGACATATCACCAAATGCCAGGAGGTACTATGTTGAAGACCTTGGGGAGGACATGTTGCTTGTTGACTCCAGCAAAAAAGACTCCAAAAAAGACAAGGCACCTGTTTATGACATGGCAGCATTCCAAAAAGGTAAATATTTTATTTAAATCAATTTTAATAGTATGTTTTAAGTTTATCTTTTATATTTTAAATGTAACAATTTTGTGCCTCTTTTTTAGAGCCTCTGGTAGTTCACTTCAATGGAGCAATGAGAGAAGTCAATATGGGATCTCAAGGTAAGTTCACACTACCTAATTATTACATTAGTTTTAAATAGACATAATACAACTATTTGTAACAAATTTGTACTATTCAAAAATTACTTTCTTGAATACATTCTTTCCATAACATAACTAGTGCAGAATAGCAGTATTAACTGCCAGTATTATGATGAATCACAAATAAAGTAACAAAGAATAAATACTCAGTATTAAAAATATATTTAATTCCTAATATTATGTACAATGAATTATAAACTGTAACTACATTGTAATAATGTTTACAATTCTTTGTAATAACATTTGGACCATTCATTCACATATCACAGAGTAGCGTTCACAGCACAACAAATATGTGATTAACATGATAATTTATGTGCGTACCGCAGGATGTCTAAGTCCTAGTTGTATGCATTGTTTGAATGTTTTACTAGCCATTCAAATTGCAACCCTTTGTAGACAACATTAAGTACAAATCAGAATAAATAAATTATTAATACTATACAAACTTGATACTTGATTAAGCTTAAACGAAGGTTCAGATGGAAATTAATCTGTTAACAAACGAAGTGGCCAGACACTATTGTGATGTTCTTTTTAAGGAAAGCTGTCTCTAATTAAAGATGTGCATTCCAAACTTAAATTGTTACAATTTATTGATCTTTTTAATAATGATAGCACAAATAGTAAACATAAATAAAGTTGTGTGTCTACTTATTACTAACTGAAGAAGATAAAACATATTTTCTGTTTAATCATTAAACAAACTGTAAACATAGTTCAAAATTTCTCTTTTCAAATAAAATCGATAATCATGTTATTTATCATATTTACTATGATCGATTTTAAAATTAAAAAAATGTCTATTTTTGTCTATGGTCAATTTTCGCGCGAAAATTACTGACATAAAAATTCACATGGTCAAGATATAAATATTTATCTCAAGCAATGCAACTTGAGTTGGTAACTGCTCAATAAAAACCTCTTGACACGATCCAGTTTCAAAGATTAATTTCATAATAGACGCAAACACTCAAACGGAAGCAAACATTTTAATCCTTATCAAGAATTTACACTAACAAGAGTAAACAGTCTGATAGGGCTATACGTTAAAAACCTCCATTGTGCTTTCTAATAAATTAGCTAACTGTATTGTTAAAAATATCTTTTGACAACATAAAAAAAAGTTTCCAACAATTTGCACAATACGATTTTTTTTTTTGGGAAGTTAAAGAGTGTCTTAAAAACCAACGTTACAAATTTAGATTACCAAAATTAAAAAAAAATAGTGTTAAGAACCCTGGAAACTGGTAATGGTTCAGGGTAAAACCGCCCAAAACAAAAACGCCGTTTAACACGATCACTGTCGTCACGAGGGGATTTTATGAAATGTGTCATTGTTATTATAGTAATTAATTTAATTTTAATATTAATTCTTGCATTATTTGTCTCAACCTTAAACAAATAAATTTTATAATTTGTGTTTTTAAAAATATAAAACAAAAGCAATTGTTTCTCCTGCAGTTCGACTTCAAAAACTCGACCTTAGGTCATAAGTCTTAGTCAGATATAAGGCTATCGCAGTGTTATTATGTTGCAAAATAAAGAACCACTTTAAGGTTATCTTGAAGTGTTCGTGACGTTATATGAGATATTAATACTAGTTCAATTAAATTATCATCCAACTATTGTACTTAGAAAACATAACACATGGCGTCTCTTTCATTATCTTTGAAAAAGATAGAGACAAGAATAATTTTAGTACAAGAGTAACGCAACTACGATTATTACACTCTAAAGTGGTAATCAAGCGTTTACTCTCGAAACACTTTAAAGTTTAAACCAAATTGTAGGCAAGAATAACATTTATAGCTCTTTCTTTGATATAAAAATATTACATTTTAATGGACAAAGAATATTGTCTTCCATGACTCATTATATTTGAAAACATATTCTCATAACAATTCCAGTTGTCGGATCATAATATTAACTATGTTCTTTACGTATAAACTATGTTAAGCATACAGCTATACAGCGTAATTTTATTTTGCATAGTCAGAAATATTTAGCTTCTTGCTTTGAACTAAATCATCTTTGTATCATTTAATATCAATTTACTGAGATAAGATAAGTCTCAGTAGAGGGTTACACCCCGATAGGGCACGTGACTAGCGCTTGACAATAAGGACTTGCGGTTTAACCGGGGCGCGCCAAAGTGCAACTATATCGGAACTCCGTCCGAAACTATAAATATTTTTTATCTATACGATTGACAATCTTCTACTACCAACCCTTCGACAATAAATCCACCGTTTACCGTCCTTATCGTGTAGTACTTGAATTGGATCCGAGTTCTGCAGACCTGATCTTTCCTTTCTCTCGACCTTCATTAGTATAATCGTTTAAATATAATAAAGAAATAAATTATTGTTTTCTAAGAACTGTTTTCTAGTAGCATACCTGGATACATACAGACCAATATAACGGATTTTCCTTATGATTTAATGATACAATTTTATGTGGTTAAAGTGAGAGGTATGCTCTTAATCATTTTAACCAATGCTAAAATTCCTAAAATTATAGTAAAATATTTGTCATGAAGTAATTTTTTTTATTCGGTAAATATTAAGTTAATTCTCGTCTAAAACACAACTTTATATAATTATATCATACTTTGATTGAAGATTTGTTGAAAATTTAATTTTGTAACATCCTGTATATCGCTTCGAATAAAATACAATCATTTCGTACGGCTCGCATATCAAGTGTTGCCAACTCATATAACTCAGTGATCATAATGGCAGTAATTATTTAATTATGCGATTACATTAACGATTTCCGCTTATCGTGTAAACAACGAGGCCTATAATCACAACAGGTAACACTAATAAATTTATTAAAAAAATAACGGTCAAATCTTTTATTCCATTCAAGGTATGCTAAGACCTAAGATATCTATACGTAGCCTATTAACGAAAATAACTTCTTACTAAGTCTATGAATCAATATAGATTTGTTGCGAAATTCATTCAAATCAAAGACACAAAGAAATACTTAAATAATTTTATTGTTTGTTAAAAACAATTAACCGGCCATAGCAATGTACCTTTACCGTCCTTCTGAGATCGGTTTAGAAAAAGTTTTTACATCATTAATCATTTTTTTTTCCTCAGCAATCGTTGGTCCATGGTTACGAGACCTGGAGGTGTCCACCAAAGGAAGCGAAACTAAAATAGAACTCAACACCAACTATTTCGTCATTCAGGAATCAGGACTATACTTCGTTTACACACAGGTATATCGTCTTAGTATTCCTTAGTGTTCTATTGAGTGCAGTTCTAAGTTTTATAATCTGTTTCCCACATATTATCCAAGTTAAATCCAATTTGTTGTATAGTCTTGGATTTAAATTGAAAAAACCAATTCGTCATACATCATTTAAACTAAATATTAAACAGGACAGATGATTGAAACAATAGCAAGCATTAGTTAATCCCGTCCAAGTATGACGCGCGCGTTTGTAAACTTACGAATAATCTAACACAAATACTGTATTTAGTGTAGCAAATGTATGAATTTGTTTATTTTAACACTTGCTTTAAATATAAGAGAAAACTTCTGACTCGCATAACCAGCTTTACCTTGCCTTTAAGACTGAGAATGCTAAGTTCAATTAGGCGCGATCTTGAGAAAAAATACCTTTTTCCTTGCAATGCTCACCCCTTATAAAATAACAGTAAAAAGCAAATAGAGGTATACTAATAAACGACTTTATTTGTAAAAGCATATTTAAAAGATGCGTTCTATTGGTTGTTGTTTCCGCGTCGTCTCAATGCTTACGAATCGTTCAAACAACTGTCGGTTTTAAGGAACACCGCTAGATTCCCTGATAGTACCTATAAATTCGTGATTATTTCCAGATCGTGTACTTAACACACGCGCCAAATTGTTACTTCATATGGGCACGTCAGCCCAACCAGGATCCTCGGCTACTGAGCACGTGCGCGACAGGCGACGACTCGAGCTCGCGCGCGCTCGATCGTTCGCAGATCTCATGCGCCACGCACACGCTCGCCCGACTCTACAAAGGTGATACAGTCAACATCGCACAGAGAGAACAGAACAGAACGCTATGGCTCCGTCCAGGATTCACACACTTCGGATTCATTAAAATTAGTTCCTAAAAGCTGTGAAAAGTGATACTTACCGAAGTTAACTTAGTAACTTTTTACCCAATTGTCTATGCCGAAGTTAACTTAGTAACTTTTTACCCAATTGTCTATGGTAAAATTAAATTCCATTGTGACCGCCTGTAGCCTAAACGAATGAACCGATTTTGATAATTTAGGTGTCATTTGTTTTGTACTCTTGTCCTGAGTGTCATAAAGGTACAGTCATACGTTTTTTACGGTTTATTAATTAATAAATTGTTTTGTAAATAAATGTTCACTGCCAATGGTGCATCAAAATGTTGCTAACATAGTGCCATATTTGATTTCGTTTGTATATTAGTTGCATCACAAGCGATTGTGTACTTATATTAATTATCATAATTATATGTCAATATTGGTACATTTAGTTGAAATTATTGTCTAACAATAAAAAGATTTCAACTTATTTGATTTATAAAATGACATTTGACTTTATTATTTGCTCAAAAGCATTTACTGTATTAAACTGGTTTTTATTTGGCATACTAATAGATGTACTGTGTATTTACATTATGTTATTGTAAAAGTCAATTTAGGTTTAAATTTCGTTTAAATGTTGTATACTGTTTAATAATGGTGCTGATAGTTCGTTTATCATATTAAGTAATAAAGCCTACCGGAATTTTTAGTCAGAATTTAGTCTCGTAAGTAAAAGTTTGTTATTAAAAAAGAGTATATTTTGTCTTCCAGTGCTCATAAGTTTTAGTACATTATAATTTTTTTCTGGAACTACAAAAACTTTTATTTGTGCCTTTTTAAAAAGGCGAAGGATAAAAAATGACATATAAGTATACAGTAGAAATAATAAATAGCTTTAATTTATTGAGAAAAAAATCAGCCATTATGTGGCTATCAAATTTTATTTGTTTATTATACCCTGCAGTGCTACTTACTTGATACATGTAAGTTAGTCATAAAATTAGTGATATTTATTTTATAATTTAGAAATATGTTTCATAGTATGTTACCGATAATATTCATTTTACAGTTGAATATTTCTCTAAAAATCTGACAAAGTAAAACATTTTTTGTATTTTTCAACTTTCGTAAAGTAACCATGTATTAACCACAACAAAACTCTGCGATAAGAACATTTCGTTATCTCTCTCATTCTGCATGTAAAACATAACCTATGTTACCTAACATAGGTTTGTTATTAGTTTTGTTTGTGAAAAACCATGGAATACAACAAAATAAGTTCACTGAAATGTGTAATTTAACAATATATCGATTAATTTATCGATATTTTAATCAATATTTATGTGACATGACATTTAATAAACAGATGAAGATGTTATTCTGCAGTAAAGAAGATTAGACTTCTTTAATTGTTATAATAATTTAGTAATGATATTTATGTATTCTTATGTTGTGTCAATTGTATGACAATTGTAGGATTATTTACTTCGATATAAACTGTAAATATACATGTCGGCAATTAGTCCCGTCCGCCAATAAAGTGCCTTAAACATTTAAATTTTAACTCGTTTTATTTTGCATCTTTCTACGTTGTTTACTGAAAATATTGATAAAGGTTATTAAGGGCCATTTCAGGCTAACGAAAGTTCGCACAAAAATATGCCTTCTTACTCCATCATCACTTTGTCTCTTTCTACCATAACTAACATTTGACCACAGAAGACATAGTAATCCAGAATTTGTTTTAAGATGCCTTCGAAGACATTATCGGGGATTGACCGAACCACGAGTCATGAAAGTGATCAATATCATCCGGACATAAAACTTGATAAAAACCATAAAAGTACGTCAAATTGTCTTGGAGCAGTCTGTTAAATGTTAGTGTTAAGATCAATGCTTATTTTAAAAAATCGATATAATTATAAATCTTTCATGAAGAAATCGATTTTCTAATGTCAATCGCTCCTACTCTGGAAGTTGGTACACAACATCACTAACATAACCTCTTTACAAAATAAATCGAAAATTTATTTACAAAATAGGACTTTTTCTAATTTCAAGCTGTAATAGTAATAAGCTATAAAACAAAATGTTAACAAGGTTTGAAGACGTTGTCTTATATTCCAAAGTGCATAATATGTATTTTCACATATTCATCAAATGTATTTTATTTTCAGACTAAAATTCAAACGAGATTTCAGGTTGATTGTGAGATGTTTGTCTGAAAAACCACCAGAAAAAGATGGAAAAGTACCAAATGTAGAAGACAAAGATGATAAAGTACAAAATAAAAGTAATTCTGAGAATCCAACAGAAAAAATTCAAGCTCTTCTCAAAAGCATGATGGCAGCGCCTAAAATAAGCGAAAGCGAATATACAGAAAAGTTCACTGTAGCTCCTGAAAGAAAACAGAAACCAAAAGTTGATGATACAGAAAGGAACACACAAAAAATAGGTAAGAGCAAGACATCTCATAATATATGAGTCAAAAGTACAAAAAAATAATATTCATAGCCAAGTCATAATATTCATTCCTTACTATCCATGCTTAGTATAAATTAATGTACTTCTGTTTAATTTTAATTTATACAATTACAGAGGAGAATCTTACAAAAGCGGCAGAGGATGTTGCTCAAGCAATTGGTGGAGATGTGAAGCATACTGAAGCTGAATTGTTGTCAAAGGTTCTCGGTAAAATTAATCAGACCTCTACAAGTTTAAGGTTAATTAATTAATTTTAGTCCCACATACTTGCATTATGAAGGTTACACACAATGTAACATCTTATGACTAAAGAGTTATTATGTCAATCTTACTGTACTTTGAACTTATTTTTTTTATTCTAGCGACTTATTAGTAGGAATGAAAGTGGATAGAATGAAGGAAAGTGATGAAGGTTTCAAAACGGAAACTAGGGGGCAGCAAGTTAAACGACTTGTGGAGAGGGCACGGACGGAAGCTCCAAAAACCAGATTTGCACAAAGGAAAGAATTTGTTAAAAAGAGGTAAGATTATGAGACAGACATATTAATGTATAAGATTTTTAGAAGATAAATAAAAAATGGTTACCTAATTTCATTTTCCTAATCACAGCTTACCCCAAGCTACTGCAGTCAATATATTTGGTGGAGAACCTTTAGGTATATTTAAAGCTAAAGAAGAGAATTATGGCACAAAGCTTGATATGTGGGACAGATTGAACCAAAGGGAGTTAGATCTTGCCACCTTACAACCACCTGCTAATTACTTCCAGAAGATGATACAGTGGACAGAGCAGGGGAAAGTCTGGAAGTTCCCTATTAACAATGAACAAGGTAAAATCTTGTAATATGTATGGATCTTACATTTTTGGCATAGATTGAAGAGTAAGAGAAGTTATTTTGTTTGTAACATCATGTCATATTATACTTTTAAACAACTGTAGCTGCATATTGCTTTAAAGTTTGTGATAATAATCCTGTAGAAAAACATTGTAATCCCTCTGATTATCTTTCAAATTAAGAAATAATAATGTAGGCACATATAAACAAAGTTTTTCCTTAAGAAAGTTAATTTTTTACTTATCTTTGTTTGTTTTAGGACTTGAAGAAGAAAATAATGTACATTTTTCTGAGCATATTTTCTTAGATGTTCACTTAGAAGGTTGGTGCCCAACCCGTGGGCCGATCAGACATTTCATGGAGTTAGTGTGTGTTGGTCTCTCTAAAAATCCATTCTACACAGCTCAGGAGAAGAAAGATCACATTATGTGGTACAAGGAATACTTTGAATCTAAGAAGGATGTATTATTAGAAGTGGGTGCGTGGGATGTTAAACCTAATGATAAGGAAGCTAATGCGTAAACATAAATTTATTATAGTTGTAGAAAATTATTAAAATATTTAAATCTGTTCATTGTTTCATTTAAAATATAGTATGAGTTTTTAAATCATGTGAATGTATTGAGGTGAACTGTTGATGGTGATGAACTAAATATGACAAAAAAGTTTGTGAGTTGAGTTTCTGAGACCAAATCTCTGTACATAATATTATCTTTGACAAAACAGAAGCAACAATATATTTTAAACGAGGATTTTGGTCTCGGAAACTCATGGTTACTTAGGGAACAATATCTTTAGCGCCGGTGGCGACCGCCGTGGGGTTTTAGTCGGTGCAAGCCCGATATAACTACCTTCGTCTTTGAAGGATGGTATGCGTAAGGCATTTCCCCACGTTAAAAAAAGGTAAAGGTAGGTAAATATATGAAGCGGGTGGATAAAATAAAACGATGTTTATTACATTATTTAACTTTATTGCACCTAAAAAAGTACACTTCGTTGCTAGGTTTCGATGTTTATTCATCCTAATACCGTACCAGATTACATACTAGTTAATCGTAAGTTAATCTGTTACCTGATTAAATAGTCATAACTTATTACTTACTGGGATTTTACAATTACTTTCGTATTATTCAATAACATGCACATACCAGTAATCCCGAAAAAGACGGCACAAAAATTGTGCTTTTTACATTTTTAGTAACGAGTAAAATATTGCTTATTGACAAACTTCGATACAAGAAAAATTAATATTACAAACCCGGATATGAAACGAATGACACGAATTTAAAGTAAAATAATTTTCTATTTAGGTTTTAGATTTGTGTCAATAATTATATGATATGTAATAGACAAACACATAAGAAAGCTGAATCAAAATCTTATATGAATTCATCAGAGCAGATTTTTCCGTCTTGTTTCTTTCTGTTAGTATAACTCGGGTTCACATACAATAATTTTAATGTATGAAATGGTTTTCCTCGCATACTCTCAGAGACAAAGAATTACTGTACAACAACCCAAATGTATTCGTACCGTGTGAAATAAGGAACTCATTATATCTAAGTACGTATTCTTATATTAAATGTCGTATACATTAAAAGCCTCCAAATTATTCGAAAAACAAAAAAAAATACGAACAATGTGCACTTAAAAAATCTCCATATTTTGTACAAAAAAAATACTTTCTGAAGAGTATTTACATCAAGAACTGGTTGTAAAGAATATTTAAAAAAAAAGTGTTTTAAATTGAATTTCTTTTCGCGTTCGGCAAAATACACAAAACATATTCATATTTTAAAACAAAAGTTACTAAAACATGCGATGTACTGAGTATTAAAACCTAGTATAGTTATGTTAATTATTGATTTTCTAAAAGAGAGACATTTTTACATAATGCCCAGTTTACATCCTTCCAGTCCAGTGATTCAAATCAGAGCTGGATTACAAAACGATAAATGTTATCGCACACTGGAATGCTCAACGCATACTGGTGTGTTTATATATTCCAGTTAAAATCCAGCCATTATTTCGAACACTGCCCTGGATTGATGTAAAATGTTCATAATCGTGGAGTTTCAATATTGGAACAAGGAATGTTTTTGTTCAAATGTTTCGTCAGTGGAATTGACTTTGTGCTAAAAACATAAGTAGGTTTCTCGACAAAATAACTTGAAGAGCTTAAGAAATAATTAAACGTAACACTATTATTAAAACGTTTGGAATTAACTTTATAAGCTACATATTGAAATTATTAAATTTAGTCCCGTGAAATTAAAAGAAAATTATCTAACATTATCTAAAAAGTCTACAAAGAAAAAAAATTTTGGAATGAAAAAGGCCCTCTTAAATTACACCCAATTTTATTACGTATTGTCTAATTCCTTTTATTATGCCTACATTTATTTAAAAAAAAATAAGCAAAATAGTTTCAAGTTGGAAGACGCGTAAGGAAGAAAATATTAAGAGACGATCTTATCGCTTAAAAGAAAAGAAGTAATAAAAATTACTTTATTAAAAAAAACTGGATTCGCGATTTTAAGATATTAATTGTTAACTAAATACATTGTTTATTATGCGTTTATTGTAACTATGGGTTTCCAATACCCAAAACAGTAAAAAAAATGTAACCATTATGTTCTTTAAAAGGAACGGAAACGAAACGAAATCTGTTTTTGTATGAGTATTCCTGAAGAAACTCATAATAACATGTACTGTAATGTATGAAAATTCATACATAATTATAAAATCTTAGAAAAAAAAACAGCAACATTTAAAAAAATGTAAGGCAGTCAGTGACAGTTTTAAAAATTAACATCACACAGAGATAAAAAGCAAAATATTTTTACTAAAAGTTATTTTATTAACAATTTGCATAAAAACTGCAATTCAGAGGCTCGGTCCATTAGTTATATTTTTATATAAGATATAGGAATGTACTGAAAAAATCTATGAAATAACAATTATTCAAAGATTAGGACACATAGAGAGCTCCTTAGCGTGGATTATATCAAACTAAATCTACAATAAGGATCACTTAAGTCAGATTACGGCAGTTAGTACTTAGCAACAGTATGCAAAGTAAACAGATGCTTATTGCTATGATAATACGTGTTACAATAGGTTGCACTTTGTGTGTGGGGAGGGTGCGGGGTGGGGGCGGGGCGCGATGTCGGCACATGGACGGCAAAGTACCACCTTACACCAAACTCTTACATCACCTGCAATATACATCAAAAAGATTGTCAGTAACATCTCTCCTGGAACTTAAAGTACCCATCTGCAAGTTTCGCGTTTTTTCCTTTGTATTTGCTCATTTGTCACTTTTTACTATAAAAAATTATACTACAAAGTGTTAATATGAGATATGCACAAACGCGTTCGTTGATATCTCACACAGAAAAGTAATCCTTGTCGTATCTCTGTCCTTGTCTCACATATAAAATGTAGGAGAGACGAGAATGTCCTCCAAATAGATCTATCTTCGTACAATCTCATTCCTTCATAGAACATTCCCTTTCTAAGTCTACTTCTACCAGATTACCCTTTGAGAGGATCAGGGAGGGCAGCTGTCTCTACCTCATCTAGAATTGAAAATAAATCTACTTAGAATAAGATCATAGACGTAGCCTAAATTATCGTCTGGTGATGCCCTTGTCAGCTCTAGTCACAGGTTACCTCCTCCTCATAAGACAGTAAA